TTCCCTCTCACCTAATGACCAGAATGCTTAATGTTCAATGAACTTCTAAAAAAATATATGCAAAAAAAGCACTATATGCCATACAGGGGAAATAAATGCATGGTACTGCTGAAGTGAAACTGTCCCACATTGTTTTTAACATACTCAAGATCTCATGGGTTTTGTGGTTCGTATAGGTACATCTACCCAGACATGTTTACTTGTATTCTGTCTGGTGTCCAGGATTTGCTTTATTTCAGCACAGTGAGCAGAAACCAATGGTTTTAACTTTTGTTTGCTGCCTGGGACGTGTATTGAGTATGCAATTAGAGCAGATATACTGATGGCCATGAAATTTACTTTACATTTCTATAATTATTCAGACAGGTAGAGAGACAGTAAAATACTAAATGGTATACATGTCTTTGCTACCTGAGAAACTTAGAGAAAATTGCAGTACTTAATTTCTAGATAAATATGCACTGAATCAAATCACACGAGCCATGGAAGCTTGATGGGAGCATTTTTCTTTCTCTAAGTCAAAAGGAGAACATTTTCCAACACTAAAAACAAGGTTAAAAGGTATTAGTTTTTAGTTTAATATCTTTATAACCTTGGTTTTTCTCAGCTGCCAGTGGGGGAAACCATTTTATCAGTTTAAGAAGTTTCAGATACAGACCTATGGCAGCATTCTAACAGTCCCTGCTAACACCTGTGCACAGCAAGCAAACAGACATGCGTGGCATGTGCAGCCTCCTAGCACGGTATAGGTAACTTCACAATCAACTAAAAACCTTCACAGGAGAGGTAAAATTTTAAGCTGTTTTAAAATTGTATAGAAAGTACATATTGAAGATCAGTTCTCAACTACAGTTCTGTCAGCTCTACCCCAAAGAACACTAGTCAAAAATCCATTTTCACAGTTACAACTAGTTCAGTTGCAAGAACCAAACAAGCAATATTTTTTAAAGGCACTTAAACAGGAAGCCCATTTTTCATATTACACACATGTACAAACTGAAGTATTCAGTCTATGGAGACCATCAAGGAAAAATAAAGTCCAAATGGGTAAAACATCAGCTTTGCACTGCAGCGCTTTGTAAACTCTCACAAGAGGATATCTGTCAGACAAGAACTTTCTAAAAAAGGAAACCAGAGCCTCTCCCACCATGCCGGGGCAAGGGAAAAGTATTTATTTATTTATCTAATAGCTATTTAACAGGCAGATTCCCATTAACTCCTGCAACAGAATTTCATTTGGGAGCTAAGCGAACACCACAAACATGTCTATTTTTTCAAGCCTCCCATCATAAAAACCCTGAGGTTAATACTCCGAGTGGGGATACTGGACTAGGCTCCCTCTGGAGCTCATCAGTTCTTCTCCTCAACTGACCTAGACAACTGCTGCTTAACAATGCACAAGGCACTCCCTCCTCACCAAAGGCCTTGCATGTTGCTTTTAATGTTTTTCATCAGCTTTGTCATCAGACTCAGATTAAAAGTCTGCAAGGCCAGCATCCTGCACTCTGGACAGAGGGCAACTTAAGCCTCGTGGGCCACTGCATCAGTACAGCTTCTCGACTCTGAGTACAAGAATCAGCAGACTCCTGTTTGATAAGGCAACAGCTCCCACGTATGTTGAGCTCGTAGGTTTGGTTAAAGAAGTGGCGATAAAACACTTGTGTGAATGAAGGTTTTTTTTCAAGCTAGCACCTGTTTGGGACCTCCTGCGATCTTGCCAGTTAATGTCTTTGAAAAGCATGCCCTTCTGCAGGTCATAACGGGTAAGTAAAAACCAAACCAAAACAAAAAACATCCTCCCTCCCTCCTCCCCCAGCAACCCAAGGCATGCCTACTCTTTGAATCAGAGAGCAGCTGAGCTGACATGTGGTTCGCCTGCCAGCTTTCTGAAATTGCAGCACTGGGGAACTCTAGGATTTTGATATTCAAACTCTGGATTTGTACCGCCAGCATTTAACCTCACATTCCAGGGCGGGGTTGGGCTCAGAGCCTGGGACATTCCAAAAAGCATTCCAACCAGCAAGGCCCCAGAGGTAGCCCACACTGAACGCATCCATGCTAAAAGGCCAGTAAGCGTATCTTCACGTTCTCATTCATGCTTTGGTAAGTAGAATACATGTAGGCTATCGGGGGGGTGTCACAGTGCTCCCTATGCACATGGATCACCTTTGGCAGGTATTAGGAACAGTTCCTGCAGCAGCAATACCAAGAACCAAACACAAGTGCTCTCCCATCTACTTGCTGTAGCCTTGTAGAAAAGAAAGATTGCTTCACTGAATTCCATTGGATTAATAGAACTTTTTTCCCCACTAAATACTTAAAGCATAGCTTCAGTTTGTATTGACCAAGTATCACATCCACACCATATTAAAAATGGCAAAATAAAAGTATTTCTGACCAGTGAGGCTAAACATCCTCCAACCCAACCGTGGTCTCAATTGCCACCCTATGCAAGAATGCAGAAATGCAATGGCTGCACCGCCAAATCTTGCCGAAGTCAGCAGATTTTCCTGGGTAAGAGCAATAAAATCTGCCACCTTCTGTTTATGAGAGGTACAGCAGAAAAGAGACGCACAGGTTAAACTGTCCAACAAAGTCTTTAAAACTAATGCTCTTTCAAACTAATGTGAACAGAACAGCCTCTAGAAGGAAAGCACAGTGCTGAGTTACTTTAAAACCAGTATTTGGGAGGGAATACACATGTTAAATACAAATTCTACTTACTGTAGAACTAATGAGGTTGGATTGAGCAATGGCACAATGTCACACATTAGTTGCAATAGAGTTAAGAATGAAGGCACATAACAGAAAACAAACCTTAAGCAAAAATATTTTCACTCTGACATGTGCAGGTACACACAATTGCAAGTTTCCCTTTTGACACGGGTCAAGGATGTCAACCATACGCTATGCTTTCGAGCCAACTGCCAGAATTTACAGCGCTTCTATATTTAGCGTAGAGCGCTCATTCCGACGGAGTGACTCTCACTCCCATTTTCACGTGCTGTTTGGCCTAGTTGTGGTCATCCAGAAGTACAACACAGACCACCTCATCAACATATACGACAATCACAACAAATTATGAGGAATAAATGTAAGCATTTCTGACCATGTAGTAATTTAAATTAGGATTTGAAGACATGCTCTTACTAGGAAACAGAAACAACCTCCAGAAACTTTTAGTTTTGATTTGTTTTAACAAAAATACAATACATACACTTTGCAGTCCTAAACTGACGTAACATTTTTTCCAGCTTATAGAGGAATATATACTCAGTATTAGTCAATTCTCTCCATTAGCCAAAACAAGGCACATATTCTAGAATATAAGATAACTAGTAAAACTTTTATGAGCTACAGTATTTCATACAACCTCTATATAGGCATCTTTCTCCAACTATAGTTCTTCCAGGTATAGTTAAACGTGATTTTTTGACAGAACTACAGAAATCTGCTTAGTTGTTCAATGTAAAATCAAACCTTACACATTCATAACTGCTGCTGGAGTTAACCAATCTCTTGCCATAAACAAGTGCTCTGACTAGCATTTTAAGTCAAAATTAAATATACACGGGAAGAACAAAAGGTGAAAGCAAGATCAGGTGTCCCAGGAAAAAGAGAGATGCTGTCTGAGCACAGTGATGAGGTTGGAAAAGCTAAAGACCTCATGGAGTCAAATGGGACATGATCTCCAGACATCCATTCCAAGCTCAAGCATCCAATGGCTCTATGATATTATGAGAACATGCAGGCCACATCACTAGCAGGACCTAAAAAAAATGACTTTTTCCTCTGTGATGGCCCCCAACAACATGAACAGGAGCAAGATACAAGATAGTACTTCCAACAGGAAAAAGGCTACTTCTAAAATTTCTGCTTAATGCTGCAAATTCTTCTGCAAGTTCAGAGTAAAATTCTAACACTAAAACTGTATCAAATTTAAGTATACTGAACTGCATTTATTGCAGCATACAAAATGAGTAAGAAAAACTTTTCTTCTTAGACTCTATAGATTTACTAGAAATTACTCTATCATCTGAACAGCAGTCATTTAAAATTACATAGGTATACATTTCTATGTATAAATGTATACATATAAGTATACACATACTTATAAATGTATACATATATGTATAAATGTATACATAAAAGTCTGAACATTATCTGATGAGATACTGTTCTGCCATTATAAAAGAATGGTTTAATGCTGACGCCATCATCTGTGAAAAAGATTCGAAGTTTTAAATAGGAAGACTATCTATGAACTACATCCAAATAAATTATACTTTTAAAGTTACTTATGCACAATACTCCAGAGATCATGGCATGGTATCCCTGTAATTTTGCTTTCAGACCAGTACCGATAATCTGAAGATTACAATAAATTAAAAAAAACAAACAAACAAATGTGCTTTTGATTAAGACCACCAGTATCATCAACAGTTAAATACTGAGGCAAAGTAGGTCACATTTCAAGAACACACAAGGCCATATTTGAATGCCTATATTGCAAATAATATACATGTAGATGCTTACTAGGACTTCCAAGTTCAAAAGAACAAAACAGATCAAAGTGCCTTAAATCAAATAATTCACAGCTACTAGGCTCCAATTTCTTACTGAAAAGACAATTGTAATACCTAAGACCAGGAAACCATGATTAATTCTGTTGCTATCATATTTCTGGAAGGTAAAATGTAGTGGAAGTTATTAAAGAAAAAATGTTATCATGCTTAGTGTTATAATTTCCAAGTTCTCCTTTCTGCAAAATCCTTTTTGACAGATGATGGGTGTAAGTAAAGCCTCAAGTCATGCATGAAACTCATTTGACAAAACCATGTCTACTTAGCTGCTAGCATTTTCCAACATTAATTTTTCTTTTTAAATACATAGTTCCATAGTGAACCTACCTTCTTATGGTCGATACATTCAGAAATCTCTTACCAGCACACCACAGACTTCTTAAAATAAACAAGCAAATAATAGAACCAACTAAAACATAGCCTTGAAAGCATCTGATATTAAAAAATTTATTGTTTGGGATAATATTCTCAATGTTCTCTAAAATCAAACTGCTAATTTATCCAGTCTGAAAGGCACCACAGGGACAGTGAGTGGTGAATAGTAAACATCTTACTGGCATCTTTCACACCTGGGGAATTTATCTCTCAGAGAATCCAAACGAAATGTGTACAGCAAGATATACAAACAGGAGTTTATTTGTAGCTTCTGTGAAACTGTCTGAAACCTCTGATCTCCATGCTACCGTGGCATCTGAGGCACATTCATGTCAGAAGTTTCTTCAGTAAAATTAGCTTTTTTGTGGGAAGGTTCAGCAAGATCTTTTCCATGGTCTCTGTTATTCAAGTGCTCCAGGTCTTCCCTCTTGCGTTTGTTTATCAGGTGGTTTTCTCCCTCACACAGCTTTCCCTCTGGGACACCCAGTGTTCTCAGACAGACAATAGCTGCAGCCTGTTCTGCTAGTTTCTTTGACTTGTCCCTGAAGAGCAAGCAGACAGAGCACAGGTAAAAGTAGAAACCAAAGTCTCTACACTCCCGAAACACAATTCATTTCCTGTCTCTGATGCAATATCATGAAATAAACAGTATTTGTAGTCATCTCACAGCAGAAGAAAAAATAGATCAGCTCCAGAAGAAGAATTTGAATCTTGCTAGGTGTCAATGTTGATTTCTCACTGCTGATAGTAATAGGTTTTCTAGGAATACTACATCAGGTCTTGTGTCTCAAGTACTCTTCATTTCAAAGATATGAAGTCAACACGTGTTTGGCCCAAGCGGTTGCAATCCTCAGATAAGTTGACTTCTGCAAATATGATCACTAAACAAAACTGAGTACTGAAGGATCACTTTCTGAAAAGACACTCAGGCCCAAGTATCTCTGGTAGGCATACAAGTTCACTCACTGATGCTGACATAAGAAGGAACTGTTCCGTAATAAAAAAACTTCTCTCAATTCCACGAGGGACTGACTGCAGATTACACATTTGTGAAATTCGAATTCAGAATTTGAAAATATTTTCTTCTCAACATTTCACATCATCTGAGCTTAGCTTCCTAAAGTCTCTGAACAGGAATCCTGGAAACACCAGTAACTGTTGTGTGCATTTATCTTCCTTAATATGTCCAATGTTGGAGCTCTAACTTTGCATTTAAATCCAGTACAACTTAGGTGCAAATGCCTGAAGTCAACACCAGTATTAATAGACGACAGCATAAAATACTGCCATGAAACTTTAGATCAGCACTGGATGTTACTGTTGATCAACTGTGATTTCTGAGATGCCACTGAACTTTCTTCTACTTTGCTGTATAGGGACACCTAATCCTGACTTATTACTGAAAATGGATCTGCTGTAGTGGCTGAAGACATTGCCTCCTCTAAATGTCCCTTCTGCCACCTTTGGTTTGTCACTGCACTCTTCATAGGCACAATTAAATTGGGTCACCTATGTGCTCCCCTTCCACTAGAATTGTGGGCTAACGTAATAGGTGAATTAAAATCAGTAATGGTTTATTTGAGCTTACTCCCTCATCACATTCAATTTTCCGATTTTTTTTCCTACAGGTAGCTTTAAGAGGTATTGTTTAGCTGACTTTTACTAATGTCACAGCTGTGAACTAGAGTAGCCTTTCATTGCAAATTTTAAGCAGTATTTCATTAAACAGTTACAATACAGCCACAAAAAAACATTAAGGATGACTTACCACAGAGTTGATCTGTATTTTTGGTCAGCTACTGTCACAACTGAACAGAACAGTCTATCCAGTGGTCTTTGAACCTGGAGATAAAGAATCAAAAGGGATGTGTCAAAAACAGTCATGTCATTTATACAACAAAGGTCAAGGTTCTTTGTTACTCTTAAGACCACATTAAGTAAAGCCTTTAAAATTACTGTAATTCAGACTAAAAATTTAATCTTGTATATTTAGAATATATATAAAAAAAAAAAAGTTGTCCAAACTGAAACCACTTTTGCTTTACAGGAAAAACAAACAAGTAAAAAACAAACCAACCAAGCAGTTGCTTCTATACAGTCTAGTTCCTACCTATAACAGCATCCAGTAACAGAAAAAAACATCCTGAAACCAAATTCTTTACTTCACAGAAGTAAAAGAAACTTGGACACAGACTCCTGTGTAAAAAGCTATAACTACAGCAACTTCTTTCACAACTCAGTTGAAGCTGGACTGAAGGTCTGGCTTTCACTTTTTTATAATAAAATAAGCTACTTTCATATATATATGTGTGTGTGTGTATGTATTTATTACCATTTCTGAAGCAGCTTACTTAATAGTTACGTCACACTGTAAAGCTAATTTCTTTCTACCCCAAGTCTTAAAATAACAATTTTATAGACAGGGAAGAGGGCTGAAAGGGTTCTTTTGATTGACTCACAGTTTCATAAACAGGCTGAGGATGCTTTTCTTTCCTACACCATTCCAGAAGATACATTTTTGGAGTAATTTGCGGTGGATATTCTCGCCTAGACAGAAAAAAAAATGTGGTCAACAACTGTGCCTAGAGTTTACTTACTAAACAAATCTATTTTAAAACAGACAGCTCAATAATTAAACAAAATAAGGGCTACTCATTATATTGCTTCTGCATGTTATTCTTTGTGGTTTACTTTCACAGCTCAAATTATGAGAAAAATACCACTTCCTTATTAGATAGTTAAAGTAGCATGTCTGACCTAGCACCTAAAATAAAACCTAAACTCTTCTATTAACTATTCTTCTTAAACATTCACATCCTGTAATAATACAGGAGAAAAAACAGTGACCAGAAAGGAAATTCTAACTAAATCTATGATACAGAGTAGAAATACAGCTTGATACTATTTATTATAAGCAACAACACAATATGAAACATTAAAATAAAGAACAAAAACCGCTTCTGTTATGAGATAATACAGTCATCAAATAAATAATCGTAGCAAAGGTAGGTATCGATTCAGTTGCTAATATCAAAATACTCGTTGTACTTGGCAGAAAAAATACAGTACAAATAAAAAAATACAGTAAAACACTGTATTCTGTCCTAAGGGAGCCATGTAATATACCCTGTAACTATTAATGCAGTATGACTGGATTTGAGGAGCACTTTATATAGTACTCTTCTTGAGCAGGTTGATAGACGTAATAGCAGGGTGGGTATAACATGTAAAGCAACAGCAATTCTATACGCCTCAGATTTTAGTCAGAAGTTACTTAAAATAATGTTGTACATAATCTCATGAATTAGTTTCTCAATGAATACCTGATGATGGGAACATGTTTAGAAGGCTGCAGATAAGTTATCTGCTTGGAATAGACTTCTGAAATTTATGCTGGACTTTTTCTATTAAAAAAAAAGTGTGTTTTAATCAAATTTCCACAAAACAATTAATGAACTCTGTGCCTTTGTATATTCAAATTTTTTTATGTACAGATGTTTTGTTTTTTTTTTTTCTTAAAGCCACTCACACTTTTAACAAATTTACTGAGTCTTGGGAAGCCTGGAACTAAAGAACATGGATATCTCATAACATCCAAATAGCACAGGAAGAATGGTGATGCTAGTGATTACATAACAATGTACAGTAATTGCTTCATAAAAATACACTCAGTACATGCTGTTATACAAATTGTTGTTTTCTAGAAACTGTAAAACATTGCCAAATTCATACTTTTTAATTACAGATACAAAAAAGTTGAATAAAATAAATTTTCATACTTACTTGTCAAATCTAACAGCCATTTTTATTACATCTGGATCTTCTATCTGGTCATCTTCATCTTGTATCTTAGTTTCCAGAGATGTTTTCTTTGCTTCAAAAATAGCTGTTGTTTCTTCATAGAAATCAGCCATTTCAAAGGCTTCACTATTGAAACAGAATTATTTTGTATTGGAGATCAGCTTGCTTTTTGTACCCCATTATGACAGAATAAAACAAAAACAAAAAAAAAACTAAGTATAGAAACCAGTTGTATTTAAATAAAGTATACATGAACAGAGAATTGCATGGAAGCATGCCTATTTTCCGTTCAGTGACATTATATTGTTTCTCCTTCATGTCTCTTAAGACATACTTGAGCTACAAGCAGAACACTGTCATTTCCAGCATTATATATTTAATTTGCAATCTGAAAGTTCTGGCAGAATCATAAGAAATACAAGTCCTGCAATGTCCATTCAAGTTATTAGCTCAATTTGAATATTATTTGCAAGTCCCAAAGCAAGGGAAGAAACTAGGATTTGGGTCAATGGCAAGTGCCTCAAATAATTTTCAATTTTACATCCATGGCAGGCTCCATCCATGCTGAAAAACCGATACTCCTCGTTTTCCAAAGAGAACAATATAACCTGCAGCACTGGCAAACTTACTTGCTGAATGTTATGAGAGTTATGAGAGTACTCATTGGTATGAGTCTGTTCAACAATAAAATGAATTCTGGACACTAGACCATTGTCAGCGCTCTAAATGGAAACGTGTTGAAGCTGAATAATGCTGAGTGATGCTTCTAAGAGAAGGCAGCTCATTATGTATTGGTACGCAAACACTTGTCTGAAATGCAGCAGGTTTTCTCTTGAGTTCAGTACTGAGATTAAAATCTCGAATGGCTGTAACATACTATCCCCACCACGAGGCAGCAGTGTTAAGTAACATTTTTGTCTGGCAACCTATAGGCTAATCTTAAATAACTGAAAGTTATTCTTTTATTTGGAGGTTAAACAGACTATTTAAAACAGTGGTTAGAAGGCTTTGAGTCCACAGATGAAAACTGATAAAACCTAAGAGGCAAGGCACTCTTTTCTGCCCCTCTCTTACGCAGTCAGCGCTACTTAAGCCAATTTTGAACATGGTAATGCATCCCATGTACAAAAATGCTTGTGTTCAACTTTGGAAGCCCCTAAAGCATCACTAGGCATAGCAAATAAAACCAAAAACTTTACCCCAGACCTCCATAAAGTATTTATGTGAATAAACTGTACTTCTTCTAATTACCTGTTTAAAGGCTTGACTCTTACTTTACAATTTCTTTTATTTATATAATATGCATTACCGTTAATGCAGTAGAGAACCCCACCACCCTTTTGACTATGATTTATTTGAAGTTGTAGAAGGTAGTTGCAATCTATGCTACATTTCTTTACCGGAATTAGAAAACTATATGCAAAAAGACAGCAAGTTACTATACCAAAAAATGTTCAACTATTTAATTACAAAAGTGAAAAATATCTTGCAAAATGTAAGTGTTGTTTACACGTTCCACTGCTCCTTTATGATTAACAGAGGCTAGCTCCTTTTATACATAACAATTGTGGGCAGCAGTGTTTATAGAGTTGGTAAATCCCAGTAAACAGACAGAAGGACTGCAAACATTTACATTCATTTTAAATGCGAACAGAACGTTGATTAGGTCTCACTAGACAACAATAATTCAATTTGCAAAATATTTCAAGCTTTCAACATTTCTTTCCAGTTTCCTACATGGAAGATAAACAGTCTCAGACTGTATTTCATAAAACCCAAAAGACTTCCCCTCCTTAAATCATCAGAATAATTGTGGCATGCAACGTGGATATGACATAGGCAAGCTCAGACCTCTACTTTGTTCAGTTTGAGTGGGTCCAAATTTGAACTCCCCTCCATTCTGTGTGAATTTAACACCTATTTTATTGTTTCTCACGTTTTTTTCCTTCTTCCTTTTTTGACTCCCCATTCCAGAAATTTCATTCAGATCATTTCAGAAATCTAGGACAAAGAACTTCAACAAAGCTACTGTATTTCCTCAAAAAGGAGGTCATATTCAGTTCTGGTATTTCAGGTATGCAAAGCAGCACAAAAAAATATATGCAAGTGTCATACAGGCTACCTTCATATATTGCTTTGAGATCATCTCTCAGTGGTCCTTCAAGATATACATCTTGCCATAAAATTCCCATCAATATTAAAAACCCCACTTGCACAGGAAAAGTTTATAAAAATCTCAGAAGTTCCAACCTATTAACCTCCAAACTACCTCTAGAAAATAGCAAAACTTAATTTTTTTAGAATTATTTTTTTTTTAAGAATTAATTAGTTCATGCAAATATTGGATAAATTCCTATCGCTCAGTGGTGTGCCTCTCACATTAGTATGCCAAATATATAGACAGTATTAGGGTTGAAGTTTTAACACCTGAGAATGGAGGAAACTTGGAAAGTGGAATGTGGAAAGCTCCACATTTTAGCAACTGCTTTTTTTTTTTTCCCCAACTTTTTCTGAGGGTCTATATGCCAAGACAGTGCTACAGACAGAACTGGTTTGCAAGTCTGGCAGAGACAATTCCTATTTCAGAAGTACATGCTTACCAGATTTCCTGTGTGGACTGTGCAGCATGCAGCTTCTTGCCCTGAGTAGTTTCTAATTGTTCTCTTAACATCTGACACAAACAGTATTTTGTGTTGGTATAGTGATTATCATATCTCACTGCCTGAAGGAGAAAAACAAAATATATTAAAATACACCAAACAAATTTTTCTTGTGTAATCCTCATTACTCTTGATGAACTTCAAAACTATTTCTGAAATGAAAAGCAGTGTAGAGTTTCCTCAATTCAAGATAACTTAATTTGGCTGGAAGTGATGTTTGCGGAAAAGGTATTGGGGATTATGGTAGACACCATCCCTGGGGGTGTTCAAGGAAAGGTTGGATGTGGTGCTTAGGGACATGGTTTAGTGGGTGACATTGGTGGAAGGGGGGTGGTTGGACCAGATGATCTTGGAGGTCTTTTCCAGCCTGAATGATGCTATAATTAACATGAGTATAACTTGATTATTTTGGCATGTTCTCACAAAAGGAAATTCAACTTATTTATATGCTTACAAAGAAACAGGTGACAAGTTAACAGATTTGACTAGTGAAGTAATATTTTTAATAAGTAACTGGTTAATGACAGTCCAAATCTTCAGAAAAAAATGAACTGATGACATGATCAAATCTGCAGATTTTCAATTTATTTCCTGCTTTGCTATTAAAAGCATTCTATTTTGAATGATCCAGCAACTTTGCATGATAGATGACTCAATTAATGGAGCTATAATACTACAATACAGCATTACTTTGACACATCATTACCTTTGCTTCCCAGCTGCTAAACATTCTTGACAGTATTTGTGATAGGCAATTAACTTCTAAAAACAAATCTAACAGCAATGTAGTACTTAATACTCCTTCACTTTTCTGTTCAGTATTAATTGTACTAACAACATCATGAGTTGCCATACCTATCATTGGCTTTTCAAATTTCTAGACATTTTTAGAGGTAAATCTCATAAGTATTCCCCAAAAAACTGGTCTAAAAGGCGTGGTATGTAAGAAAATAACCATGAGGAAAAACTGTTTTCTGAGTGATTCCTGAATTTTTGTTTTTTACTGAACACAACAAAATAGAAGAAGCAGCAGTTTACTTGCAAGACTCACATCATATGCATTATGTTAAGATATCACCAGAGACTATGTCTCTGAAAATAAGAGGAGTTAAGACACCATGGTAAGGTCTGGAATAAATTCTAAACAATATTAATTACAAGTAAAATATATATATATAGAAAAAAAAAAAAAAAAAAAGAAGACCACCATACATATTTGATGTAATCTTGCATAACTTCCTTCAAGGGGAAAGGACCTTCTTTTCTGAAAATGGATGGGTTCCACATGGCAGCACGAGCTATCATTACGGATGAGGCATCTGTTGCTTTCCGGAAGGTCTCAATGTCCATATATTCTTTGATGAAGTCATGAGAGCCTCCACTACAAACAAACATCAGTATTATGCTCCAGAAAGTTTTATTTGTTATTATATATACTATAACATACCTCATATTTTCAAATGGGACGTTACATTGTTAATAGCAGCATGGTGCTCAAGGTATCATCTCAAATATAAGAAAACAAATGGGTCTGGTCTATGTTAGCGATGATCATTAAAACATTGATTTTATACAATTTTTTTTTAGTACGGACAGCATCCTTCTATTTTTGTTCTAGTAATAATGCAAGAAGAGTAGCTACAAGTAGTACTTACAGATCAAAGAGCCCTTCAAAGTTAAAAGGTTGCAAACTAATCTAATTAATCTAATTATTCACCAATCTAATTTCTTTTATTATTTTTTGTATATTTGCTAACCAAGCTTAAGCCACTCAAAATACTAGCCAAGTAAGTTGCAGCCAGTTTCAAGTATCACAGATCATACGTATATTTCATAAGAAGGATTTTTAAGTAGCACATTTATATTTGTTTAGAGAGGCAAAAGTCTAAGCAAGTAGATTTAAAACAAAGATCACATCCTTCTCAGAGAAACCATAAAAAATACAAAGGTTATTTCAGCATCTTGGGACACTTGCACAAAAGTAAACTGATATACTGACTAATTAGAAGCAATTCATCAACAATAAACTTCTGACATTTTTGCATCTCAACGACACACTTCTGCATAATGGAAAGTACTCATACAGAGCTGACTTATCTGTGACATGCAAAAAAATCTAGGAAAAATTGTTAGCCTCATCTTTTAATCAGCCATGCAAATGATTATCTGCAATGCTCAATGTGAATCTTGCTTCTTTCTGAATTCCATGTTTTAAAAGAATTATTCTGAAAACTCAAAAAGGGGGTGAGATACTGAAAAGAGGAATAGCAAAAACTATCAACATGGATTATTTCCTTTGTCCAGTCCAGAAACAGTCTTTCCAACAGCAAAAACTTTGACTTTTTATTTATTTTCTACATAGAAACGTGAACGAGGAAACTACTCTCAAATTCCTGATCCAAGTGTATGGTTTATAGTCACAGCTTTTCCAGGCAAACGTGACATCAAGAGAACTTCATTTAAAAGACACAGCTTCTCTGGCCAAGGAGATTCTACTGCCACTAACAAACAGGTGAAACGTATAAAGACGTCAATTAGACAATTCAGGGCAGTCTGGTGCTTTTCATTACCTTTAAGAGCAATTTTGGAAGCAGGAGATACCTGTTTGTGGCTAAACTTTTATAAGAATGAGTTTCTCATTTTATCATCAGAGTAACCAAAGGAACTATCAATAAAAGCAGACAAGTTCAGTGACAACATTTTTGCAGGCCTGCAGGCTAAGCAGGTGTTAGGGAAAACTGTGACACCACAATATGTAACACTTTATGAGCAGTGGGACAGATGAGCTCTACTTTGCAAGTGTTCAAGACACACAGCGGTATGGTTATAACCAGTCACTGCACATGGCTTAAAAATCACAGAAAATTCAGCTGTTGGATGCAGTTAGAAACAACTTGCATAGGATAGGCTGTGACGCAGAAAAGCAGTAATTTTTTGAAGCATACAAGGACTTTTAAAACTAAACCTGAGATACAGTTGTAATTCACAAGGCAAAGTTCCATCACCGATAACTGCGTTTAGATTTAGAGATAATATTTCTGTTTGCCTCCACATGAAGAACCTTCATTTTCCTGCACGAGCACATCTTAAGTTAGGTACAGGCATCTTGTAATGATCAACTGATTGGTACAACCTACTTTGCTATTACTGGAATGGAGACTGCTTCAGATATGGCTTTGATCACATCACAGTGGACAGGGTGCTGAGGCCTCTCCTCCTTCTTCCTTTCCAAAAAAGAAAAAAGACAAGACCAAAGATTTCCTATGGAAGTTGTACGCACTTAGCTCACAGCAGAAATAACTCAAAGATTACTTGGACATACTTATTTGTACTCATTTAATTTATATATTATTATAAATTATATATAAAAATTATAAGTTTATATAATTATATACAATTATTTTAAATCAAATGCATTTTAAAATGTTCCTACTCTAATTCCATATCCAGATAAGCAGGGTTTTTAGACACATAATTTTATTTTTATTTGGTCTTGACTGAGTCTAAAATTTTAGGAAAATAGCTGCAAGTAGTTCAATAGCACCAAATATATTCATTCCCTAATTACTGTCTTGGTTTTCTAAAAGACTGATTTATCTAGCAGTTGAAATCAGAATTACATATTAAATGTAGAGTTTTACCTGAGTCATACCTTACTGTGCTACATTTGCCAGAAAACTAGTAAAAATGTAACACACTTTCCTGAAACACATTTACCTTCCATGGACTGCAATGGCAGCGATACCAGTTTTTTCTATTCTCTTCACTAGATTCACGGTGTCCTCAACCTGAGGGATAAGAGGAATGACATGATCATAGTTTACAGAGAAGAAACAATTATCATGTGATAACCATCATGTTATTGCACAAACAAATATTGAAATTCTGTTCTTTCATTAAGGATATGATTCCTGTACTTCAACAGCATCTCCCAATATGCATACCTATTTAATACATACTTCAATGAAAGAACTGAGATGCAGGGGAGAAGGGGAAGCTCTACGTACATCTTTAAAGAGAAAAAGTTGGCACACTGCTGAATTAGCCTGTCTTGTATAACTCTGCAGCTCTGGAGACATGGGGGGGAAAAAGAGGCCAATTTTCTTTTCAAAAGCTGGAGAGCAATCTGTGGCCCATCACAAAATAGCAGTCTTTGAAAAATGCAACACCTACCAGGTGGCATGGATATAGAGACAGAAGCCCACCTGCTGTTCTGACTGGAGACACCTTATGCAAAAGCAGCTGGAAACAAAGACTGTGGTGGCTGTAGAAATGTAAAGGAGAGGTGCCAGCTTTTTGGCTTAATACTATTAGGCAGTACTTCAAAAATAATCATCTTACACAGAGTTAGTGATTCTTTTCACACAGGGTTCATTTGTTCATATAATTAAGTGCACATGCAAATTACTTTTGAACAGTAGCTAGCTGAGTTACAGTTCATCCATCTACAGAACTATCTTTCCAGTTCATGTGCAAAATAAATAAACTGGTAATCACATACAGATTTTAAAAATAATCAGTCATTTAAAGAGAAGGCAAATAATCTCCTGGAGCTTTACAAACTTTGAAAGGGACTCAACAAAAAATAATAATAAGGGAACTATATCAGCTACTAAAAAAAAAAGAACTAGGTATTTTTGCTCTATTCTTAATTGTTACATTTTAGAAAAACACTGACAGTGCAAAATGCAACAGCTTTAACAAAGTAAAGTCCCATCACAATTTTCTTGAAATGAAGGATCGTACCCAAGAATCTATCTAGAAAATGTCATTCTAAAATTGTGATGGAGACAGTGCTTCCGGGAAAGATTATAAATCTCTTCATATAAACTAGCAATTTCAGTGCTCAATCCATCAAACAGCTTCTAAAAAGGCTGCAGGAATTGTTTCTAAGTTGGGTATCATTTGTAGTACTTATTACTGTTTTTACATGTGGAGTAAATCAGGAATCAAGACATTAGAAGTCTCCCTGCAGCATAAAACACAAGTAGTTTCTAGAGCACAGGCAGTTACTGTTGCAAACAATTTCATTAGTGAAGTCTTTGTTAAAGTGGATTTTGGAAGTTGGAGAAGTAACAGTAAGGCTTTGTCTTCCCCTTCAGTTTAAACTTCATGCAGACTGTCAAGAAATTCAAAGGTCGCCACACTGTGCTTATGTACACGATATTACTCTCAATCAATTCCATATTTGGCAATCTTCTACAATAACAGTACATTTTTCCTTTTTATTTTTCTTTTAGTGCTTATCCATCAGCAAAGGCTTTGGGATTAACTCAGTGGGTTACAATAAACAGGACTAAGATACGTGTATGTTATATAGAAGTACCCACACTTGGAATCCAGTAGAATTAGAGTGTGTGTAGACATCTAATGTTGTCTTGAGGTTTTCAATTAGAGGACAAACTTTGGCATCCCAAACAAATTATAATTCTAAAACCTGTTTCACAATAATGGGGCTAAAATTTCAACGTATTAAATTTCCATATATTATAACTGACTTTTCATCGTAGTATTAAACAAAAATACAAAACTTCATGATGATTTATGTTCTTACTGAGGGCAAAATGCGGATTTTGCAGGTTACTGGCTTACAAATTCCTTTAACAAGAGTAGTCAGTATCTGGAGACGGAAAGAAAAAAAAAGACAAATGTGATTACAAAAGAGTAATGAATAAAACTCTTCCTTCTCTCTTGAATATGCAATGAAATTAGAACAATATAACACTAGTTATTGTACCTCTATAAAGAATCTTAAGTGCTTAAAGAACACATACAATCTCTAATTGAGTATAACATTTTAGCTGGTAAATATGAATGCTGCTTTTAATAGGAGGTGAACTGTAAACACCAATCACTTCAAAACAAAGTGCAAAATTTCATTTTCATGAGATTGTTTCCATAGTCTTTTCATATTTGAGTTGTAAGTTTATGAAAACTGCATGTGAGTATTCATTAAAAAGAGCTTTTTTGAGAGAAGAAAGCCTTCAAGATGGAAAAAGAACGAGGGGAAAAAAATTAAGCAATGTCATTGAATCTTCTAATAAAAACAAAAATTGTAAACCGAATTCCATGCTTAACACAAAGCACATTTTACTCATTAAAACAAACTTGGAATAAATGAACAGTTGAGTAGTTGTTAGTTTAACCATTAAAAAACTAAGCCATGGAAAGAATATTATTTTCAGAGGCTAAATTCAAGTCCAACAGACCATATTTAAACAAAAGGGCCACGTAACGGCCTATACACATCTAAAATCACTATATGACTATAAAGGAGTACTTTGATTTATGCAAGTATATTCTATGGGAAAATGGCACCAGAAACCCAATAGCTCTCTAGACAGGAGAGCGGAAAGCAGCTGACCCTGGCTATTAGTAGAAAAATACTGTGTTTTTTTAACTGTTTTTTGAGATATCATACACGTGATTTTACTGAGTGCAATTCCCCTGTATAATACAGCTTGAACTGCAGGTAAATGATTTACTTCAGAGTTGTGCATACAAATGAAACTTGAATTTTATTTAATGCTACAGTACTTATTAAGTTCCCAATACAGAATCGAGCTTTTATAGTTAACACATGCAAATTCTTATGCTTAAAACAGCTGGGAAGTAATTAGTGTTTTCCAAACTTTCCTCCGTAGCATTCTCTTGATTAAAAAAAAATAGATAAGAAAGCTCTCAAAAAAAAAACAACTCTTCAGTATTTTTAATTTTTCTTTTTTTTTTTTACACATAAATGAAACTGAGATGACCTCATTTTTCAAAAATTATCAGTATATTATTTTCACAATCTTATCTTAAATGTAATAAGCTTTCAGTGTCAGTCTCATTAAGGATTCTGATACAAGAACAAACATCTTATGCTTTTTATTCATATAGATTAATGATTTGGAACTGCAATTTCAAACATCTGTAGGCTATAAGCTTAGTTATCCCTTTGCAGTTGGCTAAGAGTAATTTCAGTACTATGATTTTGCTGCTTATTAACACCTTACATTAAAAAAAATATTTCCAACTTTTTGAAGTTCAAGTTTCCTGTTCTACTGAAGAATACCAAAACAAAATATAATGGCTAAGGAGTGGAAGGGAAGCTGTTAGCAATCATCTTTCCAACTGCCTCTCACTCCTATGAAAAGTATTTTTGCCAGACTTACTTCCAGCTTGCCATATACTTTCCTCTCAGGTCCCACTCCTAAAAATTTCATTCAGGCTTCATCACTTTGTACATCAATTCCAATTTAACTCCAGGTAGTATCATCCATGTTACCTATTTCATGGAATACCATATAGGTCTCAAAAATTTAGGTTCTGGTTCCAGTTCTGTTGCCTGTACTGTTAACTGACTTTCCACAGATAGTAACACTTACCCAATTCTGCTTTTGTTTTTGGAAAAAAGAGATAGGGAACTGTGAACTACAACTGCCCTCAGGAGCTCTGAAGGTGGATACAGCCATAAGCTATAGGGAAGCAGGACAAAGTGAGCTGTCTACTCATGGAACTAGGAAGTACCAAGTCTTTAAAGAGAAAGGAAAACAAAACATACTTGCTGAGAACAACCCTGGAAACCCAGAGCAGTGTGCAGACTGCTCAATATCAGGAAGCCCAGAAGTCCTTAGGAATATACATACACAGATCTATTTTAATATATTTTTTTTTAATTTTAATATTCAAAACTGATTATTCTACTCTAGCTTTTACAAATTTGTCTTCTATGCATTCATCCTTGCTTCCAGTAAAGCACTACATGTAGTACTTTTTAAGGCAGTTTAAAACCCACAAGGTGATACTTACAGACTCAATTTTGTCAGGATCAGATAGCAGTGCTGCCCCCATGCCACCCTGGGAAAACACACAGGAACTGTTACACACTAGGAACATGAAAAACGCAAATATTTTTCAACTCAATTATTTCACCTAATAGCAGATCACAGCAAAAATCCACTGCTTATTAGCCAAAGAAAGTAGAAAATGGCAAAATACGAAATGCAGGAGCATTAGTGAACAGTCTGGTGAAACATTTCCTAGAAATGTATCAAGATAATTAAGCAGTAATTCAGGACGCCAACTTGCTCTCATTACTTTATGGAGCAGACAGAATTTCAAAAAGACATTTTTAGCAACTTTAATTATCTGTTTTCTACTCATTAAGTCACAGCAGGACAGAGGTATTGTTTTAGCTTTCCACTTCATGTTTGAGAGGTCTTGGTGTCAGTAGTTTCTGCCTACATGCTCTGAACTTAGAAAAGCAGGTAAACAAAAACTAAGTGGCTGGATTAAATATATTACAAACACTTTAATAATTTAATATTTGGGCTGTTCTTTCTGCAACATTCCATCTGCATGCATAGATCTGGAGGCCAATAGGCAGTCATAAGAAATAAGTTAAAAATTGCATGACGTTTTTTTTGACTCAATACTACTGGCCGAATTTTTGATCTTTCACCCTAATACAGGACAGTTGTTTTGGTGTTTTGTTCTTAATTATGACTCTGCAGAAAGATAAAATCATCTTCCATTTATTTAGCTACTATATAAAAGAAAATAAAAAAGGCTAACTAAAACAGTACTGGAAATACCAGCAGACCACTACAAATCTAACATGTCCTCAGCATGACTACAGTGCTTTGGTAACACCATTTTTTTTGCCAGATGGCTTTTGATATAAAATGGTGTTACCAAAGCACTGTAGTGCCATCTGGCTAAAAGCCATCTGGCAAAATACATGGAAAGCTCAGAAGCAACAGAATCTAAATATATAAATAAAAAGGCTCCAGAACAAGGGGAAATTCAAATTTGAGTTTTAAAAGAATGTAATATTTATTTTCAGCATAACTCACTATGTCATTTTCAGACATTATCATTGAAACAAAAAAAAAGTTAATGGGATTCAAATGGAAAAAAAAAATAGAAATCTACATGGGTGAAGTTACAAGTTAAATTAAATATTACAAGAGTAAAAGTAATTCTTCTTCAGAGTGCAAGCCAATCTACAAAACTGAAAGTAATGAAAGAGAAAATTCCTCTGTGAATTGATTCATCTTATGACTTACTTGTACCATTTCCTGGTACATTCAACATCAACCACTGTTAGATCCAGGCTGGAACAGTATGAACTTATTCAAGTGAAGATACAAGATACCTGAAACGTGTCTTATACTGTTCTTATACCCATTATATGCTCCAAACAAAAAGTAATCTTGGTGATGGAAAAAAATTTCAGCCATCTCTTATATACTCTACCTACAATTGTTACGGCTCTTTGGTTCTTCTGTTCCAAAATTTCAAGATGTAATCTGTCCTTCTGTCTCTTTAATATAGATAAGTATGTGCATGAAAATTTTACTGCTTTAATTTGTTCAACTCAGAAAACCAGTACGTCTATTTCACACCCCACACAAGGAAGAAAAGTAGTTAAGAATAATCAAAAGCTACTTGCCTTAGTAGAATATTCTTTTGGGCAGCCCATGTTGATATCAATGCCAGCTACATCACTCTCTCTGAAAGAGAAGAACCAAAAATGTATTTCAACGTATGAGAACAAAGATCAGGAAATAGGTACCTTGCTGGGAAGCTTGTTTTCATCATTATAAGGCTTAAATGTGGATTTAAGGTTAAGTTTTTATTTGATCTTCTAAATTTTCAGCTTCTCATTTATGTAAATTATCTACTTTATCAGTGGTCTGAACAACCGTCTGCCCACAGGTTTCAATGACCAGGGTTGTGCAGAAGCTGCAAATACTCATCTTAAATGCATTTACATAGAATTAATTGATACTCACCATATCAACCACCAAATTCACCAGTGTCAACAAAGTAAGTCTTAAAAGTTTCATCTATTTGAAACACAGGCTTCAAAATACCTTTCAAATAGGTTGGAGATGTATTTTGCATTTATGCACAGTACTGTGTGCTTCAAAACATAAAAAAATAGGAGCCATTTACAGAAGCCATATTAGGAGCCATATTAGTTTTGTTAGCGGGTGTGTAAAACCCAGCAAAATTTCACACTGGAAAAATCAAGGACACAGCTACTGCACTAGAAGAAAGCCTTCAATCCCAGTATAGAAATTATGCAGCTGCTACTTTGAGTACAAATTATTTTAAATAGAAGTTGCGGTCTTACAGAACTTTTCTTAAATATATTAAGGGTCCTATCAAGATCTACCCTGATCCTCTCAATCGTTACCATTTGTCTTCCAGAATAATTCCTCTCTACAAAATAACAACAACAAAACACACCACAACCACCAACAAAAAAAATGCAAACCCAGAGTGGGAAAGGGCTGAGAGAAGATGACTTACACAAGCTTAGCTACCGCCAAGGCTCTTTCAGCATCTGCTGAACCCTGTTGGAAAAACAAGAGCATATAATTATAAAATAGCATCAAAATAATAAAAAATAAGTTCACTTCCACGTGCATAAAACTATTATTTGCTCTAAGCATTTGGTCCAAAGTAACATAGACTCATTCACAGCCCAACAGATAGCAAAAACATTCAGCTAACGCATGTCAACCACTGAACAACAAAAAGTGACACAAAAAGAGATCTTGAGTGGTCAGTCCACATTCCTGACCTAAAACAGTATCAAACATTCTTAGCTGATCACCAAATAGATATTTATTTTTCCTGTTCTTAAAAATTTCCACTAATAAGCACTTAATAGCGTTTACAGGCAGCTTATTCCAGAGCTATCATTACCATTGAGAAAAGTCATTTATTGTCTAATGCTCCTTCCTCCAACATGTCTTATATGCAGTGCATTCAAAGAAACAAATTGTTTTTCCCTCTTGCAGCCTTTAATCCATTTGTGCAACATTAATGCAGATACTAATACTTTCTTATCCAGACTAAACAATGTCATTCTTCTAATCTTTCCCGTGGAACTCTTCACAGTGTAAGATTTCAGCATGTGATCAAGCATCAGTGCAATTTATTTTTGGTACTTATATGTTTGGAAATATAACAAAGATACTGATTACAAAACCAAGATGCCTTCACAGAGCACAGAATTCATCTTAATCACGTCTTTTGAAAACAGCTGTAGAGAGAACTTATACTGCAGCATGTTGACTGCATGTGTACCAACAGATTAGAAATCTGCAACATATTTGGTGTGAAATTTTATCTCCAGCTGAAGCATCAAGGTATAAACAGGTGCATTACAGACAGCTCTTTTAGACTTACAGTTACTAGCACTACCTCATTTACCTGTTATTAGAAGAGTACCTGCTGGTAGTTTCTTACCATCTGAAAGACAACGGAGTGCCTCTCCCTTTCACAAGTTCTGAAAACAACTCTTTCATTTGGTGCAACAAAGTCCACTGTTTCAAGTACTTCTACATGAAACGAGAAACACAAAACAGGCAAAATGTAATATACAGATGTAATCATAAAGGAAGACATATGACAATACAACATCTATATAAATGAAATGCTATCAAATAAAACTTCTATGAATAGTCCAACTAATGGCACCCTATCTCCCAGAAGTCCTTCGAACACGTTTCTTGCACACTGCAGTCTCCCTCCCATAGTACTCCCTAATCATCCCTGCAGCCTGTTTGTTGGGAAGCAACAGCACCAGAACATATCTGAAGATGAATCAGCCAGGATGAATGAACATAACGCTACCATTTTTGGGAAGGGGTTGGAATGGAAAGTGGATTTATGGTTGGCTTCTGTTCCCTGCCAGGGACACAACAACTGTTTCTCATCCCACTCAGCTGTTGTAAAATTTATGGAGGGCTCAAAAGATATCCATTTAAGAACTTGCCTGTGAAAATTGTGTTCGGCCAAAACTAGTCCCCAGACTTCAACTTAAGGGTAGAATGGCAAACAATGAGGTCCTGTATGTCTTGTTTCCTTACTGGAGAAGACTAAAGTATATATATATACACACTACAATGTCCCAGCTAACATTTATAAAGACTTATGACTGGAACTTGCCTCTACTGCAGTCTAAATTAATGTGTTTCTTAGCCACAATATTGGGCTTACATGGCAAGTTTTGGCAGCAAACAGGGCTGCAGGGGGAGCCTCTGAGAGGAGTGCAGCAGCTGCCCCACATCAGGTAAGAGCCAGCTCCAGCTGGCTCCAAAAGGGACCTGGCACAGGCCAAAGCTGAGCCAACAAGTGACATTACTTGTGCCTCTGTGTGAGTAGATTTAAGAAAAGGAAAGAAAAAACTGCTGCCAAGCAGCAGCTGGGAGAAAGTGAGAAAACAGTAGAGAAACAATCCTTGATTGGCTTGCAAAGGCTTGAAAAGGCCCCCTTCAGCCCGGGGAAGGGACCATGGTGGAAGAGGCTGTTGCCCCACAGCCATGGATAGCCATGGAACATGAATCATATAGCACAGCGCCCAGTGGAGCAAGTGGATGTGACCCAAACAAGGCTGCAACCCATGGAGAGCCCCCACAGAAGCAGACTTGGGGCCAGATCAGCAGCCCATGGAGAAGAACCCTGGTGGAGCAGGTCGTGTAGCAGCTGCCACCCATGAAGGACCTGTGCTGTACATGGTATGGACCTGTATGGGAGGGGGGTGGGGGGGGTTATTTGGTTTTAGTTTTTCACTGCTGTAGTCTGTTAGTAATAGGCAATAAATCATATTAAACTCCCTATGCTGAGTCTGTTTTCCCCATGACAGTAATTGGTGAGTGATCTCCCTGCCTTTATCTCAACCCTTGAGCCCTTCTTCATTGTATTTTCTCCACCTGTTCCTTTGTGGAGAGGGAGTGTGAGGGCAGTGCGTTGGAGTTTCACTAGCCATCACTGTGAAACCACCACAGCCGCTGACACACTTCACTGAAAAAATTAAAGTGCTTTGTAACTAATGAGTAGTTTTTCTCCAGAAATTAGATTTTATTTCAGCACATACAAAAAAAAAAAAACAAAAAAAAAACACACACACAAAAGCACACAAGCATTTTTGGCTTGTTTATTTCTTATGATGGCATAAGTAACCACCAGAAAATTAGATACTAGAACCAGCATATAGACATAGAAATGAGGAATGTTATCTGCTTATTAAAAATTTATTACTTGCCTTTTTGACACACAAAGATAAAACCTTCAGCACTTCATCCAATGCACTGGAATTTTATTGTCCTTCCTCCTCCAGCTACTTCTCTCACCTGCTATCAGTAAGCATGATGCTGAAACATTACTAAGATTTCCAACACCAATGCCACTTTTCTTACTAAAGAGAGACACACATAATTCTAGGAGGTAGAATTCTAACGTCCTTCACTTTCCAAGGCCTGCACCTGCACACCCACTGACCTGACCTCAGCCAAAAACTTTACAAGAAACTCACCAAATCCCTGTAATAGCTTAAGTGAATGGCGGATATTTGCTGTTCTGTACAAGGTAGGGAAGAAGCTTGTGTTAGGGTCCCAGAAAGAACATCAAACTACTAGCTACTAACAGGTTAGCCCTATCCTCAAAAGAAGGTTTGTGGTTTTCCTGAGGGATATTAGCTGAACTACTGAAAATTTTCTTAAGAAGGAAAACAAAGTCTGAAACTGTACAGCAGCAGCCAGGCATAAGAATGGAGCTTCAAAAGCTTATTTTATATCTGTACTGATACCTCATTGTAAACCCTACGTGATTACTTCAGCAAAGTAATTATTTTCTCAACTTGAGAAAGAAAGTTTACAGATATTAACAAAACAAATGCTATGCTTACCATTTATAACCCTCTTACACTGCAGCATCTTTATGTCAATCAGCTCCTGAGAACAAAGGGTGGAATAAAATGATTATAAGTAAAAGCATATAACCCATCCAGCTCTATACAGTTGTTCTATTTTATTAAGATAGCTATCTAGAGATACCAAATACAGAAAAGGAAACAAGTAAATACTTGTTTATATTTGTTATAAACTGCTTAACCAAAGTTGTAAAATATGAAAGGTGAGATGTTGATACAGTTCTAGAAGATCCATTTAGTTCAAATATCTCTCTACCAAGCTAGAAATAAAAGCAGAATTAATTGTCCAGAGAACAAAGGGAAAACAATACTATACGAAGACATCTCAAGAACTGAAGTGGGTTTCCACTGGGCTACACCCACAGGCAAACAAAATACCTACATAAGGTTTATAGGACTCTGTTACCTTAATTCAAAAGCTTTAAAGATTTGCTAAATTTACTAAAAGTTAAAATGAAACTTTGTGTTGAAGCTTACTGAAGAAAATTGGAAAATTCTGTTTCAGTGTATCAAAACAAAGCTACACAATACTGTTCTGTTGCTACACAACTGCCGTACAATTGCCTAAAATAATTTCTATATTATCTAGTAAATTCTTAAAAAATAAAAATCCATAGAACTGTGTTCCTGAATCTATTAAGACAAAGCTCTAACTGCAAATACTAATACATGTCAAAGGCATCGTAACTAGATTCTGTAAATTTGTGATTCCTGTATATACAATCTATAGTTGACATCCTAGAAAATTTAAAAAATAAATAAATAAATGTATAGTCTCATTTAACCCAATGTAAAACAGACAAGTGGGAAATTACTACTGCCTGTCAAAAAAGAAAGACGCACTATTATCCCCGATTTTGACATAGTGCTAACTATACTACTGGATTTTGAGATTTCTTCCACATCATCCAGCAATAACTATTCTTTCAAATGGAGCAGAGTCAACTAATTAAGTATCATACCCAGCATATTGTCTCTCTGAGAAGAGATCAAAGATCCTCTCAGACTGATTCTGACAGTTCCTTTCAGCCTATTCTATTAATACAGATATCTCATTTTATTGGAGTTGAGTTGTAACCTTAGAATGACCTACCCTCTCACCCAGTTTTGCTCTGCTGTCCCAGCACATCCACACTTACACAGTACTGCCAGTCTTGCTGCTTGGCCACTTTTGACACTACCTGAAGCGGAGCACCCTGTTTGTTGTGGGTGTCACGGTAGTCTTAAGTAGTAACAGCAGCAGAGCATGAAGAAATTGTTCTGGCATCTAAATGAATTGAAACATTTAAATAGTCCTAAAGCATGGGCCTACTGTAAACTTGATTGCTCAAAAGGTTCTCCCAACCCACTCTGGTTTTTTACATGTTTTAAATGAAAAGTATATGGAAAAAGTCCCACAGCAAGCCAAGCCTACTCCTTTCCTTCCATTTTTTCAGTAACCCTGTCCTCAAATTGCCTCATCTGCTCCTCCTCCATACCTCACAGTACACGATGTCAGCACCGTAGTCCAGGGCCAGAAGACGCATCGGTAAGGTTCCCACTCGCACCATGGGCGCCAGGATGTTCTTCCCTCTGAAACACAGCGGGGTGTTCACCGTCATTCCTGCTGCAGCGCTGTCTGAAAGAGAACACAGGGGATGGGGGGGGGTTATGAAATATTATTTCTTTCCAGGAAACTCCCAGAACTTTTCCTCAGGGGGGACTGAGGCTGTGGAGCCTCATGTGGCGGCTCGCAGGCTGGGTGCTTCGTCCCCACAGGGTGAGAGGAGCCCTGAGCCCACCACAGTGGGGGGCTCCCCTTATGGCGGCACCACCCTGCCAGGCGCTGAAAGCACCCTGAGGGAGGTGAAAGCAAGATATGAGGCGGCAGCCGGGCTCCCCCCACACCGTTCCTCACCCTCCTCGCGTGGAGCCGGCTGAGGAGGGGTAGGGACAGAGGCAGGGAAGGAGGAAGGCCGGCGGCGGGGGCGGTGAGGAAGGCGGGCGGGCGGACCGTCGCCTCACGGCGTCATCGAGCGGCGCCGCCGCCATGGCGCTGAGGCGCGGCGGGGCAGCGGCTGCCCGGGCGGCGGTGGGCTCAGCAGCCCCCGGAGCATGTGGTGCGCATCCCCTGGGCCCTGCGGCAGCGCCTGGAGAAGCGGCGGAAGGCAAGGCGGCCCGGGGAGGCGGCGGTGCCCTCCGGTAAGCTGCTGCTGCGCAGCCGGCGGCCGGAGCTGAGCCAGCCCCGCTGGCAGATCGTGGGGCGCTGGGAGCGGCCGCGGCTGGTGTCGGCGGGCTGGAAGCACCGAGAGGCGTGCGGGGATTACTTCCAGCTGGAGCCTTCTCAGGAGGCTGCCCCCGCTTTGAAGGCTCCGCCGGCTCCTCAGGGCCAGTCCTTCGCCGAGCTGGGGCTGCAGCCGGTGCTGCTGGCCGCCCTGCAGCGCCTGGAGGTCGGCCGCCCCACGGCGGTGCAGCGTCTCGCCATCCCCGCCCTGCTCCGCGGCCGCAGCGCCCTGTGCGCCGCCGAGACGGGCAGCGGCAAGACGCTGGCTTACCTGCTGCCGCTGCTCGACCGCCTGCTCGCCCGGCCCGAGGAGAAAGAGGAGGAGAAAGAGGAGGAGAAAAAGCTGGCGGCGCCCCGCGGGCTGGTGGTGGTGCCGTCGCGGGAGCTGGCGGCGCAGGTGGGCGCGGTGGCGGCGGCGCTGTGCCGGCCGGCGGGGCTGCGGCTGCGGGGGCTGACGGGCGGCGGCGCCTCGGGAGGGCTGAGGCGGCAGCTGAGGGGGCCGGGGGTCGCCGTGCTGCTGGGCACCCCCGGGGCGCTGCGGGATGCGCTGCGGAGGAGGTTCCTGAGCCTCGGGAGGCTGCGGTGGATGGTGCTGGACGAGGCGGACACGCTGATGGACGAGTCCTTCGCGGCGCCCATCGAGGAGATCCTGGCGCACGCCCCGCTCGCTGCTGGGGCCCCTGGGCCGGCTGGGCCCCGTGAGGAGGGGACGCAGATGGTGGTGGTGGGAGCCACCTTCCCCGCTGGGCTGAGCGAGGTGCTGGGGAGGTTCGTCGATGTGGGCCGCTTCGCCAGCCTGGCCACCCAGGGCCTGCACCGCCTGCCGCCCCACATCCAGCAGAAATTCGTCCGGCTGAAGGGCCAGGACAAGCTGCCTGAACTCCTGCAGCTCCTCAAGGACCACCCGGCGTCCGGTGGGGCCGTCATCATCTTCTGCAACAGCGCCAGCACCGTCAACTGGCTGGGCTACATCCTGGATGACCACAAAATCAAGCACCTGAGGTTGCAGGGGCAGATGTCAGCCGTTGCCAGAGCCGGCATCTTTGCCTCCTTTCAGAAGGGTGACGTTTCTGTCCTTGTCTGCACTGACCTGGCCTCCCGGGGGCTGGACACCAGCAGCGTGCAGCTAGTGGTCAACTACGACTTCCCAGACACTCTGCAGGACTACCTGCACCGCGTGGGGCGGGTTGGACGCGTCGGAAGCAAGACCCCTGGAGCTGTGGTTAGCTTTGTCACCCATAAGTGGGATGTGGACCTGGTGCGGAAAATCGAGACTGCAGCCCGGAAAAGGACAGGTCTCCCAGGCATGGACTCCTCTATTAATGAGCCTCCGCCTAAAGCAGATTGATTTGTGTTGCCAGGCAGTAATAAATGGCCTGGCAGGGTCTAAGCTTGAAGCCATTAAGGCAGAGCATATGAGCTCAAGTGTGTGAGCTCCACTGAAACAGTATAGAATTGAGGTTCATAACCAGGTGATGGGGTTAATTTTGTGCACTGTTCTGGAAGCTGCGATAATCACTTCCAAAGGCGTCACAACTCACAGCTTCCCAAAAGGAGGTTAATAAGTGAATAATAAAATGCCTTTGGAGAAGACCCAAGAATTCTGTCATCTGTTGCATTTGCTTAATTGTGTTGAGACTTTTAACTTAAATTCAAATCAGAGTGAATGTATGCCTTCCCACCAACAGCAGTTAAACAGTATTATTCAATTTTAAGAATGTCTACTGGCAGAAGAAAAAAAAAGAATGTTTTCCTAACTTTGTTGTAACTTTGACCCAATTTTAGCCATGTGTGGAAAGACTAAATGGTAAATCACATTAAACTTTCTTGTAGCATTTGATTCAGAGAATTCTAGACCAAATATCTGTAAAGACAGGTGGGAGTGAGAAGGTACGATAAAACTCAAGGCTTTTTCAAGCTTTTATTTATCATCTTACAGTTGCCTTTCAGTGGGAACAGACATCTGTGCTGTTTCATTGTATTAAAGAAAAAAGCATCATGTTTTCTGCTTGTTTTTCATGCGGGCTCTAGTGATGTCTGCTGTCTGTACTGCATTAAAAAGAAAAAGTAAATGTCTCCTGTGGCAAGGAAAGAAAGTGTTTTGACTCACAAGTTCTATCATAACAGAACAGGTGCATAAGGTTTCTTTTGAGTATCATGTCATTGTTCTCTTCTGCTTTAAAGCAAAAGGATTAAAATGAGGCTGAGGTTATTCCATATCTAGCTGCTAGCTGGTATCCATGGTAAATAATCACACAAAAAGAGTATTTTAGCTCTGATTTATGTTGCGGTGACTTATCACAGCTTCTTCTTTTACTGGATGTTTTTTCCTCACACCGTCCACTTTTTCAACCTGTGCTAAAACTCAGTATGCAGGAATAGAAAGCTGTTAGAAGATTGCAGCAGAATATCTCTAAATCATTGGTTTCAAAGCAAATAAGGCACTGGAGCTACTTGCATTGTGAGTAGGAGAGTAAAAAGCATAGAAACAAAACTAGAAATTGTGCGCATGTATTCTGTTCAATTCCACAGCTAAAGGGCTCTTAGGAGAAGTTACAAACTATAGTAAAGTTACTTTATTCAGTGGAAAGCTTTCAACTTTCTAAATTAGGTGTAAAAACATTCATATTTTTGACCCATTCATTGCATAGACTACTTGCCTAATATCTGAAGTTCATTCAATTGCAAATCATGCATTTCATGCAACCACAAGCAGAAGTATACTTAGTATGAGCAGTAAGGTAAATACTTAAACAGAAATTTAGGGGTAGTGTGTAGTATAATTTACAGAAAATCCTATTTCCATTTGATGCATCTAGGCTTTATGAGATTTTCTGAACTGGTGAGAAATAGCTAAATAGCTTCCTTCAACTGTGGACACAATAGTTATCTTAAATGAAGTAAACTGTATTAAACTCCAAGGGTAAAAAAAAAAAAAAAAAAAAAAAAGTAATATTTGCTTGCTTGCTTTCAGGCTGACTGCATTTCAAGTGTCATATAATATGAATTTGATGTAAGACAAGGCAGTTTTCAAATCCATAGTACCTCACCATTTTAGCATAAATACCGAGTTACTATCTATTCCATTGAGTGTCTTCCTCTTATCAGGCAGCTGGTGATGCCAACTGTGATTCTCTGTTCAATACACAGAGTTGCCCTTTTAAGTTGGAGTGAAGTTTTTTGCTTAGGAGTTTGGGTGTCAGACTCCCTGGACCCATGTTCTCACAAATACACAAGACTAAATCAAACAATTAGGGCTAAATTTTCGTAACTGTTGTAGATATGTGCTATAATTCTTTAGCTGGAAACTGTTAGTAGCAGAGCAAATAGTGTGACTGATTTTAAGTCATGCAGCCTTTTTGGAGTTTATGTTTGATTCCTGCAGGAAAACAGTTCCGAAGAAGTTAAATGATGTCACGTAAACATAACCTCTGACTCAGGATCCACAGTCAAAACTGTCTGGCAATGTTCATTCATAATTAATGCATCCACTTATTTTTTATTGGTAACTAAGTGGCACTGGTGATAAGAAAGTATATTTTTTCCTGAGTTAAAATGTGGGAAAGGAAGATGGGAGGAAGGTTGATTTCTGATCAATTCACCATAAAATCAGCTTATAAAAGCTAATGGTAGTATTACTGAGGTATTAAATATACATGTTAAAAAATGAATGATCGGTGTACTATATATGTTATAAAAAATTAATTATATATCCTCTAATGGCCATAACAAAAGACATTGAAGATGTTCTACAAGGTTACATTTGCATATTCTTGTTAAGGTTTTTAGATGTATAATTTTAGGGTAACTTCTATAACCCACTTTTAAAAATTCTGCAACAGTCTGTGAATCTGGAATATTATTACAGTGAGTCCCATGCCAGGTCATTCTGGATTGAAGCACACAATAGAAAATCAAATTAAACAACACAGTGAAATTATAAAGGTCTTTCAGCTATATGCTTCTTAAATTTGGAGTAACATGCACTTTATATATTTACAAGCAGTAACTTTAAACTCAGCGCAAATGCTCTGAACTGATTGTTGCTAGGGCACTGTTGATCAAAACAGTTTATCAAAAAAATAAAAGACATTTTGACATTTGTATACTAAAGTGGCCAATAAAAAGCTTTGGGTAGATATGCTCAGAGAACACAAACATTTACCAATAAAGCCTTTTGTAAACATTACTTTCAAATAAAACTGCAGTTCTTTTAAGCGTATATTGAGAAATCTCACTTTCCTACTGTTGTTCACAAAGAGATGGTTATTACAGCCTGTCATTAGCAGCAGCGATTACATTCAGGAATACACAAACATTCAAATCCTGCTATATGCAAACTGATACAGAGCCACCAAACGTAGACATCTGCATCAGTGAGATGTCGTGTTTTACTACAGAGTAAGTAAATACTATAGCGAAGCCTTCAAAGAGATTTAGAGACCCCATCACAGCTAGTGAGCTAATATTGTATGTAGCTCACATATGGTAAAACTCTTTTTTAAGGAAGAGACATGTTTGATGTCGTTTTAGCTAGACTTTAATCAAAGTTTGGTTAAAGTTTGGCTTCTTAGCGCTGTCTCTAAATGTCATGTCACTCACTGTTCACATCCTAATGACAGTCTACACACACAATTGTTTATTTGCTCTTTTTATACCTATCCTTACTCCACCTTCTGTGTAAACTCACATATTAGCCTGTATGGGCATAAAAACAACAGCGTATGAGTTTTATCTTAGAGGTACTGCAAGGACATTCAGACACTTCTGATGTACATAGCCCAGTGTCTAGTAGCAAGGTACCTAAAATCCCTCTGTATAACTGGTCTCCCCAGACACCACCTTTCCCCTCCTTCCTGAAACGTTTTTATGAGCCATGTTTACACATTAGTGGTGGAGTGCGTGGTGGAGAAGTTCTCCATGCGTATTCTGACCAGCTTCTCAGGAGGGACTGGCCTCAGGAAGAACTTGCAGTTGAAGGCCTGCCGACAGGCCTTGCGGAAGTTTTCCGAGAGGAAGGCGTAAATGATGGGGTTGATGCAGGAGTTCCCGTAGGCCAAGCAATGGGAGATGATACGGAAGGTGAAGGAGACGTTGTTCAAGGGAAAGTGCCCGAACTCTGCCCACATTGTGATGATGTGGTGCGGCAGCCAGGACAGCAGGAACACAGCAACCACGAGAAGCACTGTCTGCGCTGTCTGGAAAGACAAGATCAAGTATTAAATTGTTGCTGTGCTCATGTGAGTCAAGTGAGGCAGCATGACCTGCAATGGTGACCACTGCCAGGTGGGCAAACTATGACAGTATGAAAAAGGATGCTAAAAAGCAGCCTTCCTCCCTGTAAAAACAGAATTTTGGCTCTCAGTTTTTTTCTTGGGCAACTAAAGACAGTGGAGATAGTGCCCATAAAACCTCAAACAAGAAGTTTTAACTAATGCTATCCATGTTACATGGACAAGTTGAAATAATATTCTCTAACTTTTGAAGGCTGAGGAACATTAAAAGTATTGAAAATAACCATAGGGGAAAATTGTCTGTTTGGAAATAGGCCGCTGAGAGGGGCAACAGGGACACCTCTGCATTTCTGAGGAGAAAAATTTATCCAGGAACTTCTCTCTTATGGGTGAAACAAACAGAATAAAAACCACCAACCAATGTAGAGAGGCTTTTAAAAATATATATAGTGCTCTTTTGTTATTAATATTACTAGGATATACTCCTAGCTAGACAATATGCCTCTAGGATCCCAGCTTGCCTGTGGGCTGTGTGCTGGGGATGTGACCCTGCAGCACCAGCTCTCCAGCTAGGCCATCACCCTCACAAGCCATTGTTTGTCAGCACCATATCAACTTTAAACTGAGGTAAAATTTTCCAGAAAAATGTTCCTGAAAGTCATAATCCAAAAGAAAGGTTAAAGAGAGGTGAGCTGTTGACTACAGCTGTGGTGGCCCCTCACAACTGTGGCAGGGGAAGAGGAAAGAGAGCTGAGGCAATGCCTCAGGAGAGCTGCACAAAATGGCGGAGCAGCGTGAGGGCTTGGCTACCTGAGTGGAAAGGGTAGGGGGAAAGACAGCCAGGAGCAAAGGTAAGTAATGGGAGCTGTTTGAGTTATTTTGGTGTGAAATTTAGCTGGCTCTTTCTTGGGGTTTTGTTGTTGTTGATGGGAAATGGTAGTCTGGGGAGAAGGGCTTGGGCTGCGAGGAGTCGAGGTGGTGAGAGGGTTGAAGGTAAAGACTAGCGTGTCTGTATTTTGGGGCAGTGAGCTAAGGCTGTCTGCTGTTCCAGAAGAGGAGATCCACACCAACGTAGGAAAAGTCCTGTTCCCCATAAATGTTATAAAGCTAAAGTTGAGGGGACCTGCCAGATGCATGCTAAGAAGTAACTTAGCCTTTACTGAAAAGGCATATCCCCTTTTGAACAAAGCCTCAACCTGGTATGGTTAGGGATCTGTCTGACAATAAAAGTACCTACTTTGTTTTATTAATATTATTTCTTCTGTTCAGAAGTTGTTGAAGAATATAAAGTATGACTTTCACTGACTGTAAGTTACAATTAATTGAATCAAACTATAACTCACCTTCCTGCAAGTCCCTGAGGCCTGTGTGGACAGTACCCATGTACTCAAGTTTAAGCATCATGAGAGGGTTGCTTTTCTCTCACTTTCTACTTGTAGCACATGCAGGGAACACTGAGCAAGGCCCAGAGAGCCATTAATGCTGTTTTTGTTTCTTTTTTTTTTTTTTTTTTTACCCATTCAATTCCTTCTTCTTGGAGCATTGTAGCAGATGCACAGCAGGTGACTTCTGTCCACTCCCCTTGCCTAATTCTCAGCAAAATGTGTGATTTTCAACTTTAGTGTTTATCATTTGTATTTTGTCACTTAAATAAATACAACATTTTGGGAATATGCAGATATTATCCTTCTCCTAAGAAGAATGTGAGTTGTACAAGGAAGAGAAGAGTGTTGAAGAAAACTGAAAAGTTGGGCTTAATTTCAAATTAGGGTTTACAGCCCTATAGGTCTAAGCTAATTTTTCAGTCAGTAACTCCCTTCCATGATTTCAGGTGAACAGGATGCAATTACTTCTCTACAAGAGAGATGATTTACTAGTGAACAAAAACTTATTTAATCGCTGTGTTAAAACTTATAAATAGAAGCTATAAAGAGTCAGGGTTACGTATATAAAACACCTAAGCTGGAACCTCTTCTAGGAGAAGGGAAATCTCTCCCTGCCCCACAATACAGCAAACAAAATAGCTGCTGCAAAATCTCCATATCCTTCTGACTTTTCTGTAGCACTACAACGGTTGGCATGACTTGCCAAGTTAAGTGCATCTCCTTGGCAATATTTCAGTGGTGACTAAGGTGGCAGGATAGAGATGGGCTCAGGAAGATAATTTTTTGGACTTCCATTTAAATGGGAAAACATTTCGTGACTTGCACTTGTCTCTATACTCTCTGTGTTCTTTGGGTGAGATGGAAACTGCAATTTGTTTTAGTAACTATCTAAGGCACGTGCTTGATGCTGTGTGAAGAGTAATATGAGGAAAACAAGGAAATTACTCAAAGAGCCACAGAACTAATGAAGCTGGATTTCTTAAGGGATCATGTTGATTTCTCTGGTACCCTAGCAGACAGTGGTGGTACAAATTAAATATTTCTCCTCAGAGTATTTGCTGTATTTCCCTTGTCAGTGGCACTTCAATAAAAACGTAATAAAACTTCTCTCCTCTGGAGTCTACTTCAGAGAGTTTTTTTTTTTCTAGTTTCCTATATCAATGAGTTAGGTATAGTGTTCATGAATGTTTATTGGCTAACAGTAGACCCCTCTGCTGCAGACTACAAAGATCATGTTCTGAAGTTGACGGCAGTATGCTCCAGGGGAGAGTGGAGTGGTAATACTTCATAGAAGAAAGAAGGTAAGGTGATTAGATCTTGGTGTGTAAGGTCTGGGATCACAACAAATGACTGCAGTCCTATACATAAGAACCTATGGGAGGCAGTGCTAAAATATTTATAAACAAGTATTAAATGTTTATAAACTGGCTTGTTGGAAGGGGTTGGAGATATGGGGCAAAATTACAAGAAGTTCACTTGTCTTCCAGATTCATGTTTCACCTTAGTAACAGCCCTATGCTGCTCTTGAAATTTCATAAGATTGTTTGGAATTTAAAATCCTTTTTATTTTTTAAACATTAAAATACTTCAAAACCAACTTGCAGTTCTAAGAAAATGTTAAGCTTATGTGTTCAGATATAGGTCTTTATTAAATCTATGGTTAATGTCATCTAGTCAAATGGAGTTAGATCAGGACTTTTATATTGTTTGGACCTTCCTAAATAGTAGCATTAAAACCTGCAGAACATGAGAGGACACTAGAATTATAATTGCTGTTTATAACATACATTTAATCATGTTTTATATTTGAATGAATCGCACTAAAATATTTCAAGTATATTCTGCTTGCTCTGACAGTAATAAAGTGGGTGAAGGCTAAAGGTGCTTTCTTGGGAACTGTTGTGGGTTTTTGTTGTTGTTGTTGTTTTTTTTCCCTCTCCTATTTGTTTAACCCTGCAGAAAAGTCAACTGCATGATAAGAAGGTTTTTTTCCTGTGTTGGATAGGCAACATCTTTCCCCTGTTTACATAGGGCCTGCAGCAATGATCTCCTGCAATAAAAACAGACAGTCATTGAAGTTGAAAAATGCTTTTGGATGAGGGCCAACAGTGTCACCTTTGCTTGCCTTAACTGCATTAACAAGCCAGTTAAAATCTGTTAAACTCTAGGAAGATGTTGTATCAGATCAAGATTTCTGTGCAGATAAGAGAAAACAGTTGCTTATGAAACAAGTTTAAAAAAACATGGGGAGCAGGGCGTTTTCTGCCAAATAGATGTATCAGGTAAATTTGTATTAATTTTGAAAGGCCTGTAGGTTCATCCGGTACGTAGCATATTTTGGATGCTTCCTTGTTTTGCATACCAAAATGCTCTGTCTAACATATTAGGTGACAAAGCATGTTCCCATGTGAGTGTACAACCTTTGCTCTTGAACTCCTAAAAATTGAACCACGCTGGGAACCAGATGCTGTCCTTGGTAATGTGCTGGTACAATTGGAACTGAAAGACACAGAAGTGGTGGCCTTGTGGGGTCTAGCTTGCTTACTGTGGTAAGACGGGTGCTAAAGAAATGATGAATAGTAGGTACCGTTCTTAACTCTCACCAGCATTAATGGTGCTACTTTTTTACCCTCTAACAATGTTAAATAGCTTCGGCATGTTACCAAGGCAACCTTTTGTAGCATCCTTCTGCTTAAATTAGGGGGCTACAAGCATTGAAAGATTCTTTTGAATAGGGGATATAGACCTAGATTCTTTTTTCTTTTTACTGTGAAATGGCAAACCATGCATTCAGCATAGGGATGGATATTAAAAACGGATTTGCAGTCGCTGTGTGTTAGCACAAAGCTGTTTCTGAGATCCAGCTACCTGGGATTTTGCAAATGAGAATATAGACAATAATATCAATAACCTACATAATTCAGGACTCAAAGAACCTGTTTTGGAAATTGAACTTTTGTCTATTTTTTCCCCTCAAATTAGGGGATATGTGGCCCAGAGAAGAAACCGAAAAAAAAACATTGTTTTACTTTTAAGACAGTAACAGTCTAAAACTAGTGCTAATATAGACTGTGAACAGCTGCAGAGGATGGATCCAAATTGCTTGTGTACAGTTGGAGTTTGTTCAGTGAGCTGTGATAATTTGCACCATTAATGGGTTACTGTTGGTCTAGCTCTGCCCAGTTAATGCTAACATTATGGTTTGTTTCTGAAGCCTTAGTGGGTCCATAGAAGGCATGTACAATGGCCACCGCTGGATTATTTAACTGACTCTTATTAATATTTTGCACTCTTAGAATTCTTTTGAGAAGCTCCATGAAACAGCTTAGTGCATTATTTGTTGTACAAAGAGAGTGTTGAAGCTATACAGTGAATCAATGGCAGAGTGGGAAATAGAGACTGGGGGAAATCATAAATGTTTGTTTGTCAAACAGATAAACTTGTTGTTTCCCCCCTTAATGTTTCTGCCACGCAGGATTGCCTAGAATTTACTCACTTATTCTTCTGTTATAGTCATATGTGATCTGACCCTCATTTATAGATTTCCCAGGGTTTTTTTTACCTTTGATTTTCTTCAGCCCTGAATGAGCTATATCTTGCTTTTAGTCTTCCCCTGTCCTTCAGAAAGTAATGCTGAAACGTGTTTAAAGACCCCTTTTTAGGGAAGTACCTAATTTTTGCAGGATAATGAAGTTTTTAGCATTTAATTTTGATTTTGGAGTTGTCATTCTTGATAAGCTTCTAATGAAGCTGTCTCAACTTGCAAAGGCAAAATGAAGATTGAAACATTTGGTTCATTACATGGCAAATATTCCATGAGCTTTTTTTTTTTTTTTTTTTTTTTTTTTTTTTTGTGCAGAACTACCTGATGCATTAGGTTAATAAATAGTCTTGAGATAAAATATACAATGGACAGAACAGTCTAAAGGTAGAAAGCCTGTCACTTCTCTCATCTGGTCTAGACACAGATATTTTTTTTTTCAGAGCTGATCAGACTATCCATTTGTACCTCAGCCAAACAGAAAAGGGAAAGAACATTCAATGAGGCTTTTATTGAACAGTATGTTCTCACTAGCTTACAGAAAAACTGGGATTCATTAGTGGGACAGTTACTGTTTTCTGAATGTGGTGGAGGTTTTTCCTCCTTTTCCACAATTTTGAAGAAAGAAGCATAAAACCTATGCCTCTTTTTCTGTGCTGTCTCATTAACAAATAGCAACTCTTTCTTTATTACTGCTTTGCAGGAGGACTGGGCATATAATGAACTGGACTATGGGTCTTGCTTCCCTTCACTCCTCTAAACCAGTTTAAATTAATAATATACTGCTGTGATGCCAAAGGCAGCCTTACTCCAGCTAGTGCTGCTTCTTCACACCATACCATACTTCCTCGGCCATTGTGTGGGGGCCAATACTTTTCTCCTGACTTGTAATAAAAAGTCATAAAAATGTTTTCTCTGAATTATTTTATTTTGTTATGCTTATCTCTAGCTTGCATCTTTGTTTTCCCTGATATTTGAGAGACAGTTGGTACATGTTTTTATTGCCCAACATTTGATTTGTGTAAGCTACTGGGTGTCAGTCATGGCTATTTATTTTATATGTGTATACATACTATACTTGTGGTGAAAGCTTGGCCAAAATCTAGTGACCCATGGTGCTCTAAGCTTTTACTTTTAGATACTACACTGTGTCAGTACCCAGGAAGGATGCATGGCTCAGCACAACCTCCTGATGTACTACTGGAGGTACTTAGCAACTTCTCCTGATGAGAACAATTTTTGCAGCCCTAGACACTGTTATCCTCTGTTTTCAGAAGAGAGAGATAACAACATTTATTTGCTCGGTCTCTCTAAGCCAATGTGCAGAAACTGTCAGTTTTTTCTCTCCTGGTGTCAGGTTCTTCTCTACTGTGTTCACAAATCTGACACCCACTGATGCATTTGTAAGCATCCTTTTCTGCCTGTCAAGTTATAACACTAGAAAGGTACCAAAGCACAATTTGAACTCCAGAAATGTGCTTATAGCTTCGTGATAAACACACAAGGTTTCAAACAGATGTTTCAGAAAAATCCATATCTAGTCTTAGCCAGCTTAAATTTTGGACAGCAGCTTCCTCTGCTTCAAAACAAACTCATTTGTTACTTGTTTATGAAGCACTTCTCACTGTCCTCTGGTCTTTCTTTTATTACTCTTGAGTGTAGTTCTAAAAACAGCACTGAAAGTGTTTTTTTTTTTTTTTTTTTCCTCCCCATTGTTTTTCCCCTTGTGGTCAGAAATGGCAGTTGGCTGTCACGAAGAAGAGGAGAGATTGAAACATATAAACTTTCAGTTGTAATCAGCCCATTTTGGCTACTTCCTAAGTGGTGAACTCTTCATTTTCCCAGTAGCTTGTTTGCACTGGTCTGACTACTCCCCTGAATGTCTCTGATTTTGTGATAATGCCGCTAATCCCCTCTGTTGATGCTCTTGATACTGACTCACTTTGTATTCAGAAATGCTTATAAGCATTATGATATTCTTATTATCTACTAATTGGTAATGAAGCACTCTATTCTTGCTGCCCTAGGTTCTTGTTAGCAAAACAGCTTGCAGGATTTCACTTTTGGTTAATATTTTTTGTTAGATGGATCCCAAGATTTCCCATGCTACTTTTCTGTCCTTAGCGTTGGTCATGGTTAAGCACTGAACATCACATTCATTAAGTCTATATGAAAACCCACTGGCTGTGTGAATAGAAGTCAAATAAATAGTTCAGCATGTAATAAACACATTTCACAAGCATATAGGAAAGCAGTTGCAGTGAAACTTTTGTCTGCCTCTCTTGACCAAAATGCTCAAGAATACCCATCTACCTTGAAGGAATTCTGTACGTTGTGCCTCAAGCTGTGGTATGACCTTCAAAAAACAATGAACTTGTGTGTAGGTTAAGTATAGGGTTGTGAATGTATGAACTGAGGAAGACAATAATCTTAGCTTCAAAGAGGGAGATGTGTTTTAAATTGACTATTACAATTTTGGAGCAAGATCTTGGGTTTATGTGTTTTGTGAACACATTAGCTCAGTTCTTAAGTAGTGGCTATAAGAGGGAGAAATAATTAAAAAAAAAAAAAAAGGAATAAAATTTTAGGAATTATTATGAGAAGAAGAGAGAACAAAAGAGTGTTTTCCCACCAGGTAAGATTGGTTCACCTTTCTATTGTAGCTAAAAATAAAATAGTACTTATTTGTTAGATTTAGATGTTTCAATTGGCCTGTTAATTGGAGCTTCTGACTTTTATTGCCTCTAAAGATTCCACAGCTCCTACCTTCCTTTCAAGGGACCTTGCAAAATAGCTGTGAAATTCACAGCCTCAGAACTGTTTTAAAGCTTGACAAAGCATTTCAGATTGTTCTTTAAAGATGTCATAGGACAAAACTAAGTAAACATTGAGGAACCCTGGGGTGCTGCAAAAGCCAGTAAGACACCACAGGGCCATTTCATGATCAGACTAGACCTTGGTTTGCATTCATTTCCATTATTAAAATGTTATTTACTGCAAATGTATATTTGGAGTTCCTAGGGCTGCGTTCTCATGAAACACTTTTTCAACACTGTCAGATAGGGAATCGTTAACTTTCCTTGGAGCCAAAGACTTACTGTGCTCTTCATTATGCATACAGGAAGTAACAGGACTGAAATGTATTTTATTTTTGATTGAGAGGTGCACAGGATTTCCTAGCACGTTGTCTTGCTGTCCTGCCTCAACAACAGATTAACCAAAATTACGAAGGGGACTCCTGCAGTATCACACCATCTCAATTGTAATGTTGGCAAGCTTGTTCAGCTAGCAAGAAGTTAAACGGAGAAACTGGCACGCGTGCCTTTTTTGCATGCACAATCTAGCTGAGACAAATGGAGTGGCAGTGCCACCGTACTTCAGGTGTATGTGTCAGAGCTTCTCTTAATTGGGCAGGTAGCTAAAAACTGTAACAATCATTTTAACTTTTGAGGTGATTTTGTTTCTTTCCTCAGCTAACTGACAGTAGGCATGTGTGTCTGCGTATGCAGCTCTGCTCTGTCCTTGCACAGTTGGTGATCCTCTGCTGGATGCAGGTACCACGCACGAAACAAGCCTGTAGGGAAGGCTGAGAGCGCTGCTGCAGCGGCAGGCACAGGAAAGCCATGCTGTGCTTGAAAAATGCAGAACAAAGAAGTGGAGGAAATAAGCAAGAGAGTTCTTAAAACAACAGATTTCTAGTAATGTAGTTCATTGTTTGAGTTCTGTATCCTAATTTAGAAAAAAAAACAAAACAAAAACAAACAAACAAAACTTTAAAGGAAGAGGTTGAACTACAGTACTAAAGTACTAAGCATGTGTTCTGTAAATGTACTCTGTATGCTTGGATAGAATTAAATTGATTTTGCTGTTGCCTTCTTTGCTGCAGCAGTACAACTTGGAAAGGCAGGTGTATACTGTCACGCCGGAACTGTCCAACCTGTGTGATCATCATCTTTTTAGAAGCTACCCTAGGTTTGCATCTAGCAGGTTCTCTCTCACCTGTTCTGTAAATGTTAGCCTTATCCAGATTCACAGTTGATTTGGCACTCACTCTATGGCATTCACGTTGTTTCTAAACTGTTTTATCTTGGAAATAAATATTCTATCTTGAGTCTGTATAGCCCAAAGAAAAGGCATTACAGTTTCTGGAGCTCATGGCAAAGCAATTTGTTTGCAGTGGCAATGCCAGCATCCATTTCACCGGCAACTCTTGTTCAACATGGATTTGAGGTCTGCAATTTGATTTTCTGAACAATTTTACTCCCCTATATAGCCTAGATGAACGTAGTGAGGTCTGTACAAATAGCTGCTTGCAAAATTTACTGCTTATCTCTTTAAAAAAGAAAAAGAAGACCACACTCCAAAGCCATTCCCTTAGGGGTGGAAGGAGGATAAAAACTGGTGTGTTTTTTTGTCCTGTTTTCTTGAAATTAAAGGAATGAAGTAAGTGCTGAGTGATCATAGTTCCAGACTGATTTCATCTGTGTACCAGTATGACACTTTGTTTTCCATATTAGTGTGGTCAAGATGCACACTGAAAATTACCTGATTCACATCTGATTATTATCACCTCATGTTGAAAGATCTTGTTTTCATGTTTTGGTGGATCCAAGGTGATAAGGGCTTGGCCATTGAAACTGCATGTGTTTCATAAAGCTGAATGTTTTGTATTTGCTAAATTAATTTTTGAAACATGGAGCAAGATTCACTTGTCAAACATCTGAGTGAAATAAGCAAAAGCTGGTTGCTTTATCGTTAAGGTTTAAGACCAAACAAAACTACTTGTCCCTAATAGACCAATTAAGTACATATGAAGGAAGCTAATTTAACAGAACTGCCATGCACATATGAATTTTCTATTAGGCTCTAATGTGAAGTGTTCTTAAGAAAATCTGCTTTAAATGATTGACACGCAGTGTGTATCGAGGATACTATGAAAGCACATCTGGGAATGGAGCGAGTCTGCAGGCTGCACAAGAAAGATTCCTTATAAAGAAGAGAAGTAAACAAAAAGTAATTGCAGTAGAGATGTCAAAGACGCTGTTCGGCCTGCAAAAAAATAAATGAGAAATTTCTCAACAGAAAGCGCTGGCAGGAGACAAATTGTGGAAGATGTGTGTATGTATGTGGAGGGATGTATTTGATTCATTTTTTTTCCTTGAGTCTAACTGCCATGAGGAACAACAGTCTCAACCAGGTGTTCCAGAATTATGGCCATAGAAACACTTAAGGGGAGGGAGGAGGAAATGTTTTGACATTAACTTGTCTGAACAGGCAAAGTCAAAGGTATTTTTTATGATCAGACCTCTCAGTTGTATCTAGTCAGGAAACTGAAAGTTGAAGAAACTGTAAATCTGTTTTTCATCTAACTCTACAGGTCAAATCTGGAAACGATGCAAGCAGATATATTTGAAGAAATGGGTATGGAAAAAACAAACAAACATATCTGTAACTTCAGTGTTTCACACGAAGATGAGACCAGTTTTTGACAATTGGTAGCATTCTCTTCAAATATAGGAAAGAAATAGGTATAGGGCCATTTTTATATAGGTAAGGAAAAGACAGAAGTGGAATTTACACCATCTAAAGCGTTTCATAGAATCATAGAAAAGTTTGGATTGGAAGGAACCTTTACAGATCATCTAGTTCCCTGTCCCTGCTATAGGCAGGGACACCTCCCACCAGCCCAGGCTGCTCAAAGCCCCATCCAGCCTGGCCCTGAACATCTCCAAGGATGGGGCATCCACAGCTTCTCAGGGCAGCCAGTGCCAGTTCCTCACCACCCTCAGAGTAAATAATTTCTTTCTAATATCTGATCTAAATCTGCCCTTTTTCAGTTTAAAGCCACTCCCCCTTACCCTGTTACCACACTCCCTGACACTCCCTTCCCAACTTTTCTGTAGGCCCCCCT